TTTTTCCATATTGATTGTCCTGTGGGAACCACATGAAAAAGTCTGGATGTTCCTTGGGCTCCCTGGGAGGGCAGGCCCACTTTTGGTATGCGTGCCAGCCAGAGTGGACCAGGGCTGGGGGCGTCTGGACAGACCCCTGCCACTGGAGTTCTCACGGAAACAGAACAAAGGCCCAGGAGCAGGAGGGAGCCACAGACCCTAGAACCACCCGACGTCCTTTGCAGTAGAGGCTCCTACTGGAGGCGGCGGCTTGAGTGTGAGGTCTGCCACCTCCTGGTGACACTCCTGGTCAAGTCCCACGACTTCTTCAGGCTCAGCCGCCTCATTTGTAAAGTTCAGAGAGCAGTGGGTTATGCCTCACGAAGTGCTGAGAGGAATGCCCAAGAAAGCCCTCTGCGGACCCTCCGGAATGCCAGCCCTGCCCTGGGCCCTAGTATATGTGGCTTGGCATAAGCAGAGTGTTTGACAAACGTGCTCAGGCTGTCGCCCGTGTTGTGGTGCCGGGAATTTCTGGGCGCTACCCACTTAGCTTGTTTTGTTAAGAGAATATTAATGGAAGCCTAAGTGGTCTTGGGGATAAAGGGATCTCTAGAAACGCAGCCCAAGGCTGGATCAGAAATGTCTGCTATAATAGGAAATGCTGCTGAAGAAGAAATTACCACTCACATTATGTGTTCCCACTCAGATCTACCCACTTGAGGAATTACGTGCAGGGGGCCTCAAACCCTGACAGCAGTTTGGATCCTGCCTTGGGTGTGGAAAGTGGGGTACGACTTCCTTAATTCCCTTGAAAATCCAAGAGCAAAGCCCAAATGAAGAAGATTAAATGACATTCAAGCCCATTTCTTCCCTTCGGAAGCAGCTGCCCACCCCCCTCGCCGCTGGCTGATAATGGCCACCCCTCATCAAATATTTATCCCAGCACTGGAGTGCTCCATCAGCCTCCAGCAGCACGCCAGGGATGGGATCTGATTATGAACACTGGTCAGGAGCGAAGCAGGCAGGCTACAAAGTGCTGGGCTGGAAGGCGGAACATCAAAGCCCCATATTCTTCCTTAAAGGTCGCCTCTGGAAGCGAAGGCTTCCTGTTAGGAAATGTTCAAGGACCTGGCCCCTCTATGTGCCTCTAGCCCCTGGGGCAGCTCTCTCTCCTTTCTTTCCTCTCCAGCGGGGCAGAAGGCAGCTAAGCTCAAGGCCTGGGGCCAGGGGCCTGACTCCAAGCCCTGGGTTTATGAAAAGCAAATAATATCTCACCTGCTCAGAGATGCCACGCCTTCCTTCCCTTTTGAGGGGAGCCCTGGCATTTCATGGGTGCCCTGTTTGAAGCCTGCCCTTTGCAAAACAGAAAAAGAAGAGAAGGGAGAAAGGAACAGAAGCTGATTCGAAAAGACTTCCCGTATCTGGAGTTTCCGATGTCCCTTTGTGTGGATTCACTGATTACAAGGGTGGAAGAGCCTGTCAGGGGAGGGTCATGGCTGGTATTTACACTTTAATGGAGCCCAGGGACCAATTAACCACACAGGGTCCACAGGCCAAGCATTTCTAAAAGAAAAGGAGGGAACTCTCATATGATTGCTCTTTCCCCCTTCCCCAAATAAAAGACGAATGCTATGTCAACCATTTCTCAAAGGCGATCCTTTATTTTCTGAAAGTCCTAAAACTGACTGATGTCCCAGTCTACTAACAATATCTTTTTTTTCTCAGCAAATCCAGAAGACCTGAGGGCAGAGGCCCAGGTGACATCAAAACCGGCCCTCCACGGCCAGCAGCCGCACCGCAGCCTCCTGCACAGCCTGGTGGACACGCCTCACCTCGCTCTGCGACAGGGTCCGCTCCATGTGGCGGTAGGTGATGCGGTAGCAGTGGCTGGTCTTGTGTGTCCTAGAGAACGAAAGAGAACAGCACGTGAGTGAGGGCCACGTACGCCTGCTGCCTGCAGAAGCACCCGCGGCTCAGAGCACGGGCTGACAGACCCATGACTCCCACTAACAGCCGGCATCTTTTATAGACTTCGGGGGGAGGTGGGGGTAGGGGGTCCTTGGCTTGAATAACAGAGACTGATGGCTCCACTGGAACAGATGCAGCCAAGTCCCCTGGGAAGGAAGCTTCTTAACAATGTGACTTCCTGGGCCAAGCCCTGGAGATTGTGACTCAGCAGGTGGGAGGTGGGCCCTGGGCTTCTGGGCTTTTCCTAGGCCTGGGGGAGGCATTTAGACAATTATGCCATATAGGCCTTATATGCCATCTCTGTGCCATGGAGCCAATTGTTTTAATCCTCTGCTTTTACCAGGGGTGCTGACTTGGCTTTCATGGAACAGCCTGGTGATTCTGAACACGCGGACACGACAGCAGTGACACCTTCTGTGTGCACTGACAGTTGTTAAAGACAACCAGTAAGAAAGCCCTCAGCAGAAACAACTCAGGGCCACGAGCTGGCAGGCCCACTCTCACCAGCTGTGTGGCCGGGGGTCTGACGCTTCCCTCTCCTGGCGCTTTTCCGTCTCTTTTTCCGAGCCACACACATTCCTCTTTTCCAGCCTGCTGCCACAGAAGAGTCAGGCCATGTTCGTCCTCAGCAAACCAGCGGCTCTAGGCAGATGCCTCTGGATGACACCAGCCAGCTCTCAGCCTGACCAGGGACAGGCCACGTTCCCTCGGGCACAGGAGGCGGTGCTGGGCCCTCAGTAATGCCAGGCCCTGAACAAATGACCTTCTGGTGAGAGTGCTCCCCAGGCCACGCCCACGCCCCATGGACCACCCGCTGGTCCCCATTGTTGCCACCTGGGTCCAGTGCCCCCCACTTCCGGAGGACTCCTGATACTTCGTGGATTTGCTCTCAGTGAAGGGGTTTCTCTCTGCTCTTCCTTCTTTCCCACCCTCTGTTTCGGTCCCAGGCCCCTGGCTGAGTAGAATATACCTGATCAGTGAAGAGTCTGCCTCAGGTCGCAGCTCCCTCATCTCCTCCTTAACCTCCTGTCCCAGTGTTTCCTCCCTTCCCTGCTCCACCCCAGGTTGGTCACCTTCGTCCTGCTCTCTTCCTTGTTCCCGGCTAGAGCCCACCTACAGGAAGGATCAAGCCCTGAGACTTAAGACACTGGGCCTCACAGGGTTATTTACATTACAGCCTAGGATAGAGCCCTTGTTTGGATCAAGGCAGAGGAAGAAGGTACCGACCGCTGAGGCTGTGCAATAACCAAGCCTGGGCGAGGGAGGGAAAGCCTTTTCTTAGGGGATCATGATGTCACAGCACCTGCCCCACCTGCTCACCTGATATATCCACTGCCTGCTCTAGAGGAAGGAAGAAAATAAGCCTTCCTGCCTCCCTTTTTCTTTTTCAGTCCAGCCAGGCCACTGGCTGAACTCAGGGGACATGGCTGGGGCATCTTTGAAGCCCAAACTGCCTCTGGTGATGGTTCCACAACCTTGTGAATATTCCAGAAACCCTGAGGGCTGCCAGTGGAGCAGAGCAACCTTTTCTCCTTATTCCACGTGGTCCCACACGAGTGCCCCAGACACCACACACACCCAAGCCCTCCAGATACCAAAATGAGAGCAAGACGAGGAACTGGGCCCAGTGGGGGAAGCCGAGAGGCCCTTCGTGGGTGGGAGCTGAGGGGACAAGACATCCTGTTGCAGCCAAGTGCTGGCTTGACCCATCCAAAGGGGACTGTCTCCTCAACACATGACTGCATGACTGCATGTCCACGTGTGAAAGAATGGAGCTGGCCCTGGCCTCACACCATACACAAAATTAACTCAAAATAGGTCACACATCTACATGTAAAAGCTAAAACTGTAACATAATAGAAGAAAACATAAGAGCAAATCTTTATGGCCCTGAATTAGGCAAGGCCTCCTTAGATGTGACACCAAAAGCACAGGTTACAAAAGGGAAAAAAAAGATAAATTGGACTTCATCTAAATTAGAAACGCTTGTGCTTCACCGTCAAGAAAGTGAAAAGACCATCTACAGAATTGGAGAAAGTATTTGCAAATCATATCTCTGATAAGGGACGTGTATATAGCATATATAAACAACTCTTACAACTCAACAATAAAAAGACAACCCCATAAAAATGTGCAAAGGATTTAAACAGAATTCTTTAGAGAAGATATACAAGTGCATGTGTGTATGTGTGTGTGTGTGTGTGTGTGTGTGTGTGTGTGTGTGTGTGTGTATAAGCACATGAAAGGTGCTCAATATTATCAGCCATCAGGGAAAATGCAGTTCACAACCACTGTGGGGACCCAGCTGGGGCCCCCTAGTGTTGGAAGCCATTGACAGGCTTTGGAGGCCACTGGCCTGGCCCCTCCCCTCTGGGAGGGACAGAGGGGAAGACAGACAGGCTGGTGCAAGACTGCGTGTAAGTTTACTGTACGTGTAAGTTTCATGTAAGTTTCTCCCTAGAGCGCATATGTTGTTGGCCATATGCCACTACTGTTCATATAAACCCTGTGTGTATATAAACCCTGCTTCCCTTTTGATCGCTCTCCCTGGCCCCAGCCTCAGACAAATAAAGAGCTGTTGCTGCACTTATGGCACATCTGCCACGTGCTTTCTTTCGTTTGGGCATCTCACCACCAAAATGGTCCCTGGTTGACACACTTGGACCTGACAACCCCGATGAGAGGCTACTTCACACCCACTGAGATAGCATAATTTTTTTATAAAGGGAAAATAGCTAGTGTTGGAGAAGATGTGGAGAAATAAGAATGCTTATACATGGCTGGTGAGAATGTCAAATGATGCAGCCACTTTGGAAAACAGTTTGGCAGTTCCTGGAGAAATACTATTCGGCAGAATATTCAGTGATAATTCAGTAGATTCAACTGAAAATCAACCAGGTTTGCCTTTTCCAAACAACACTGGAGCGAGAGAGATAGGGGGGTGGGGGGGGGAGAAGGAGACTGACTTTCTTTTGTTTTCTAGAAACTTCCTTTTGGAGCTTTCAAATAGTAGGACACACTCCTGTCCTCCTTTTGCTGGTGCGAGAGCTGAAAGGAGTGGAGCTAGCAGCTGGTTGTGAGTGGAAGACCCAGGTTTCCTGGTTCTTGAACAGTGGTCTGCCCATGAAAAGCATGGGGTCACGGAGCTGAGGGATCGTGGCTTACCGCTGGATAGGTAAGAAGATGGATTCCTCAAAGGAAGGGATGCCCTCAATGCTCAACCCCAAGTGTCTGGGTTAGAGCTTTTTTGATTCTTGTATATCACCCAGTGCAGCCTCTTTTAGCCCAAAAACTTCTCAATCTTTCATAAGCCATGACCTCCATTGTCCTTTCATAACAGTGGCAGCAGCTAACATTTGTGTGCACTGTCCAAACCCTTTGTATACATTAACTCATTTGAGCTTCACAACCCCAGTGGATAGACAGCATTTTGTCCCTGCTAAACAGATGCGGAAACTGAGGCACAGAGCACACAAGTAAACTGCCTAAGCTCACACAGCTATTTAGCAGGGTTGGGTTTGAAATGAAGCAATCTGGTGGCAATATAAAATAGTGCAGCCACTGTAGGAAACAGTTTAGTGGTTCCTTAAAAACTTAAACAACATAAAATTACCATAAGACCTAGAAATTGTACTCCTAGGTATACACCCAAAGCATTGAAAGCAAGTGTTCAAACAAAAACTTGTACAAGGATTTTCATAGCAGCGTTATTCACAACAGCCCAAAGGTGGAAATGTCCAACCGTGGATGAATGGATAAACAAAATATGATATTTCCATACAATGGACCTACACAATGAAACATTCTTCAGTCATTAAAAGGAATGAAGGACTGATACCCGCTACAATGTGGATGAACCTCAAAAACATGCTGAGTGAGGGAAGCCCACACCACAGATCACATACTGTAGGATTCCACCTAGATGAAATGTCCAGAATAGGGAAATCCATAGAGGCAGAAAGGAGACTGGTGGTTGCCAGGGGTGGGGGGAAAAAGAGAATAGGCAGAAACTCCTTAATGAGCATGGGGTTTTCTTTGGGGATGATGAAAATGTTTTGGAACTAGATAGAGGCAGTGGTTGCACAACATCGTGAATGTAGTAAATGCCACTGAATTGTACACTTTAAAAATGGTTAACTTTATGTTATGTGAATTTCACCTCAATTAAGGAAAACTAGGCAATTTGGTTTCGGAGCCCAGCTATCAACTATCACACGCGGCTGCACGCCCCACGTCTTTCTTCCCTTTCACGTCTCCAACCTCCTCCTTCTACCCCAACCTCTCCCAGGAAGTGACAAGGTTCGCAAACCATTGAGAAGGACATATTTGAATCGTTCTGCGCAAGAAAGAGATGAACCGAGTCCGTGTTCCTCTCTAGCTCCGCCCCTTAACTAATGGAGATGAGGTATAACTGACACTGAACGGGAAGCACTTTGAGCAGGGGTGCTTGAAAGGTCTTTCTTGTTTACAGCCATTAAAAGGTGGCTGGAGAGACAAGGAGCTGGTGGGAAATACGAGGGTGCAGGGAGACGTTGGGGGCCAGCACGGGGCTGCGGCCACAGCTCCCGTCCTCCCCCCAGGGGGCTGGGCAGCACCCGCACACCCTTCAGGAAGGGAAACCTTCCCTGAAGGAGACAACAGTCTGCGGTGACAATCTGGGGTTTTACAGGCAGATACAAGTTCTCTTGTATGTGCTTCACAGCTTCTACTCATAGGCAAAGAACGTGCGAACAGCCATACTGAGCGTGAGAGGTCACATTTCATTATAATGAATTTGAAGAGAGAGTCTAAACTGCTTTTTTTTTTTGGTGTTGGAATTTCATTACGTTGGGAGATTGGCTAAAATGAGTTGGGCATAGGCAAGAGCTTGAAGTTTTATGAGATTTTAGTGTGAGAATCTTAGAGTATTTAAGCTTCAACACCTTCAAGTATCA